CGCATCCATAATGTTGCTGAAGCAAAAGAGACTGGTCTTCCCTTTTGCACAAAAACCACCCCATGCCATAATTTTACATCGATCTTTCGGCATTGGGCGTATTGGCCTTGCCAGTGTTTAATTGTGTTACGAAACAATTGGAAGGATGTTTCGTCAGTGAAAACTGAGACTTTTTTTTTTGAGAAAATTTTGAATTGTTTGTGTTACTTATTACTGTTCTAGGAATGCCAAGCGTCTTAGATATGCTCGTTTTGTAGCACCACTTTTAAAAAGCCCAATAATTTGGCCACGTTTAGCTTCAGTTAATCAGACATTTTCAGAGTAAAGATTAAAATTAATTAATTCAGTTTATTATATTGCTTACAGAAGAAATAAATATAACAAGTTAGACTATAACATAAAAATTTTAGTCTCAATTATTATGTACACTTTTGAGCGATTAATAAAGTTAGGTGACCGATACTTTTGTCCAGGTAGTGTATATGCATTTAAAATACTATACAAAATTATAAAAATTGATTGCATATACTTGTAAGGAGTGTAGCAAAAGTATGCATTTAGAAGAGTTTGACCGTACATAGTTAAACTCAATAAGTCAGACATGACTGGTTGTCTGACTTATTGAGAAAATGTTAAATAGGTGGCAGAGAGATTTTATCTGACTTATCAAGTGTCCAACTTATTGAATTTACCTGTGTATAGAAACGGATTAACTACAATGTGCTTCTGTCATTGATATACTGTATTTACTTTTTGATAAAAATGAAATGGTTTTCTATCAGCTTTTATTTACTAAAGAAGGCCACAGTTGACAAGTCAATTTCTTATATAAGCAAACTTATACCAAACAACCAAAAAAGATATACTGTAGATATAACATATGCCAAATTATATGTCTCTCAAAATCTAAGTTAAATATTATGTCTTTGTACTGTTACGGCAAGCCCGATCTGAAGACTCAGATAAGCAAGTCACATGGTAAAATTTTCCTCCGCAGTCAAGCAAAACCCCATGATCAATGTTAATTTTAGAATCGTAGTACAGCGTCGCGCATTTTCAGTGTCAGATGCACCGTGTCGAATTTGAGTGTCAACACAAACGCCGTTAGCTAACTTAGAATATGATTAATTTTTCATAGAAATTACGATTGTTTAACACGAAAAAATCCGATTTTGGTCAATAATTAGCGCACATAATTTTAATAATTCGCTGCTATTAATTATTTTTAGCTCCGTTTCGATTTTCGAGTGTCGCTAAAGGTATATAAGCGAACCCTTATCCCATCGTCGAATTCTTATGTTGTAAATATTGTTCATTTTGTTGTTCAGGTTATTAGAACAATAATTCCCACTCCACGGAATAATAATCAAATAAACAATTCCTTTTGAAATCGAAACTTTACTTTCTTTTATTAATTATTTGACCGGACACACTAATAAACGGTTCACTCAAGCTGTAAACTGCTCATTTAAGCTGTATAAGTTGTCCGTTGGTCTATTACTCTTAATTGAGGAACAATTATTTATTGAAACAAAAATTGTATAATTAGTTATTTAGAGACAAGTGACGGAACCCGACTAGTCGAAATACCAAATCGAAGAAAGCCTGTCCTGTTTAATTTAAAATAGATTTATTTCCTCTTCGATTCTGCGATAGAATAATTGTTGTTCGTGGTACCCTTATTTGGAATCACGAGTAATTGAAGCTCGGATAGGGAGTTAAGGAGTGCGCAAATTTAATTATAATAAATAGGCCACTTGTAGATTAGAATTCAATCTTAATTGAACAACTACTACCGTAATAAGGGCGGCAGCACGAAACTAATCTGGTAATAACCCCGGTCGGAAGAACACCCCTACGCGAAAGATTAATCGCTCCCCAAACCCAGATCATCCGACTTTTTGTTTATTTTTATGAATACAGTCATCCCTTGTTTATATCCCCAATTTGGGACCGAGACTTTTGGGGATATATCTAAAGTGGGATATAATTGGGTATTAGTATATGCTTTTTAGTTTGGTAGCACAAGAATTTTACTACTCTGTTAATAAAGTTTGGCGCTTTAACTTTCATCTAAACGACGAATTATATCACACTTGTATCTCATATCGTTTTCAGTTGTAAATTCTCTTTCTTTGTTCTAAAATTTGTTCAATAAATAACTGTATGAACAAACTTAGTAACGTTAAACAGAAAGGGACTTCTCTCTTATATTGAAATTGAGACTAACGAAAAGTGGCGAGTTATATGAGCTAATCAAAAAGTGATTGTTTGCTTACTACTTGCAACAGATTGAATCAAACGAGAATTGAGCATCATGTCAGATTAAAAGATCAGGTCATATTAATATAACACTCAGGTCATGTAAACATGCCACTTTTCTCAGGTCGTATAATAACAATAATAATGTACTAATTAACAAGGTGACTATAGATAGAAATAACATGATATTTACGTAACACGATTAACAAATAAATTACTGAGGGGAGTATGATTACCATAGGATATGGGAATAGGGATGAGGAAATTTATACTGCGATATAATAGAGAAATCCGTCCAGTCCCAAAGCTGGGATATGTCTGAGGATGGGTTAAGTTACAATAGAGGTTACAAACGAGGAGTTTTGCGTTTACACCTACGATTGAACGCTAAAGGTGTGGGTTACAAACGAGGAACAACTGTAATCTGTTATTGCGTCTATTAGATAGACAGTTGAGTAACCGGAAGCAGTACTTGTTGTAACCGTTGAGTAATCGCAAGTAACGACATTGAACTACCAAGCAAATAACAAAGGTGGCAGCCGAGCCACTGTATCGAGTTTTGTGAGACCTGTGTGTGGGAAGTGTCGGAAATTGTTTGAGAAAATGCACGTGAAGGAATCTCGATCGTAGCGAAAGCAAAAACTAAAATTATCGCAAATACTATTATAACTAGACATCCGGCAATGGACGTGAAAAACAAGATTAAAAGACAAAACCAGATATATCAAACTGATGTGACGACAATAATTTATATGGTGCCTAAGGTCTACGTTATTGCTGTCTCCTTGAAAATGACTGCCAATAACATCTTGTAGTCTAACCCAGAAACTTCACACTCGGACACTCAGTAGACCTAAAAATGGTTGACGCTAATACAAATTTGTGACTAATCATACCCTTAATTTCTATTTATAGATTCCTTATTTAGCATCAAGTATCTCTATTTAATACTGGGGGCGGATCCCCAAGATTCATTGCTGTCACTCGCCACTGGATATGCGCTTAGAACACTTATTCTACGGACATCGCAATACTGAGCCAACATCTATCGTACGATGTCGTATTATCACCATGATCTTTATTCTTGCCTTATTGGTGACATATGCGATTATTCTTCTAATTGGTATCACCAATGGTGCCCCAACTATTAAAACCGAATTGAGATGGGAGATGAATATTCCACCCCCATCCGTGTGTTTTCAGTTTCCATACAACTTCACTATCGACTGTGAATCACATAATAGTAAGTAATTCAATTGTATTATGATCAAGCGATCAACGAAATTCGATCAATCAATCAACCAGCTTTTCTTTAATAGTGGATGTTGCACAAAATTGCAGTCAGCAGCATGTTGAACAGCCCACGTTTATCGTAAGCTCAAATCGATATTCAGGCTGCTTTATTCCCAATGGTGTACAAGTAACAAAGGATGTAATATATTCCTTGGCGTATACTGTGAATGATACAAATTTCAACAACAGTTCGCCTGTGCCCGAGTTGGTTGCAACTATATATGACACTGGTAAACATAATTTTGAAAAAAAGGATTCTAGAAAGCAGCATTATCAAAGTTTTGATCATTATCTCATGTTCTTTCTCCACTGCAATAAGAACTCATTAGCACGGAGTACAATGAAACCGCCAAAGAAGTCGACAGATACTATCCATCGTTAATCAACTCTTTTAATGCAATGTCGATCTATCTTCTATTTTATCAGCAAGCAAATATAGTGGAATATTCTCGCAGCGAGAGACACGTAATCAGGAGAAATGCTTTTACAGCCTTTGGCATGCTGTCTAACAATATACGCGTGCCTTACATTACTACTAAAATACGTGAGTGAAAAGACTAAGAAGGTGCAACAGATTCGTCGACATCTTTCTAATATGTTAAAATTCTCGTTATTTGTAGAGGGCGGACCATTGAATATTTCTGATTTAGATGCTAATATTTATGGAGCATTGTTTTTAAAAGTCAATAACAACGTTGTCAGGGTTGAGATTGAGCAGAGGCGAGTACAGAGAAATGTTTGAAACTTATCGTTGACAATGATGATGGTCGACTAATGGTTAATATTTATTATCGATACCCAATGCCGTTTACCATTATTGAAAACGTAGACCACATACAGTAAGTTCGATTGTTCTCATCCGATCCACTGACATGATGAGTAATCTAACATAATAACGTCGATACGCAATTCATATAGGTAATCAGCTCAATCGGTTTACTTGGCGGTGCATGGGGCCTCGCTGTAGGACTATATGCCATTTTGTTTGGTAAATAACTTTGATTTGTAGACAAGTTTATTATCCTCGCCTGCTTATGGTTAGTATATCCATATTTATCACCTCCCCCACTTTCCCAGGCAGCGATTCGCTACGTCCATGGGGTTGTATTCACTTCTACTGCTGTTGCTTTATTCGACAGACACGTTTGCAGCTCCGCGAATCACTTCCAGTTATTCCATTACGCTCCTCCAAGTCATCAACGGTTCTACCGGCAGGCTCGTATCGATCGAAAGACTCGAAATCAGTGGAACAATTGCAAGAGCGGTTGGATAGATTGGAATTGTTTATGAGGGAATATATGGTCGAGTCAGCTTACTTGGAAGGATTGAACGAGAATCGGTTTCCGAATAGACTTAGCAGCTGGTTGGGAGGATGTACTGGGAATTCTGGAACAGTGGCTGCTGATACTACCGGTGTTTATGCATCTATCTCTTCTGTTTCTCATTCTAAAACAGATGTGGAGGATGCTACAAGAACAACTGCATTAGAGAGAGAACGATCCATTATCCCCAGCGACCATACACGTGTTTCTACGTCACCCCAACCGTCTCCCTCTCGCCTCTCAAATCCAGATTTTTTCTTCGTTGATGCGGAATCATCTTAACGCGTCTTAGCTTCATTCCCTCCTCCTTTACCTTCATTCAACCGGTCTCTAATTCAGCGGTGCAATTCTCTGTCATTTGTTTAATGCATTGCAGTGTGAGGTGTTAGACAGTTTATTCACCGTTTGCCCTACCCCTTGTTCTCTTATCAACTAATACCTATGTATTTACGACTTTCTATTTCTTCGACTCGGTGGATATGTCCTGTTGGTACATGTTTTGGAATCAGACAGTAGAAAAGATAATGTAATTCTTTAACTTGCAATGATTTTAACCCTTTCAAATAACTTTCGGTTGAATAATGAAACCCAACTAGAAACGTGATACTATAGAGTATTGTCAAACTTGATATTAAATGCAATGCGAACCTAGTGTTAGCTAGCAACTAAAGCTTCTGACTACGAAATCTATTACTATATATAAACTATTTAATGGATTGGAGAAGATAAAATTATGCACGTCGAGTCTTCATCTTTATAGTGCAAAATGTGTATTAGCGACAAAAAAATTGTCAACAAATTGAAGATTAGTTTATCCATCCTAGGTTTAAAAACCTTGCCTCCTCCTAAATAAATTCATACAATATTGTTCAGAGATCATACAATAATACGTCTTTGATATATTGAACTAGATAAATAAATCAGAATTCACTACAGAGCAGGCCATTGCCCGTGGCCAGACACACCGATCTTTAATTAATCGTTGTGTCAATCAAACATATTAATATTATAGCACTTTCAAAATAGTATGATTGTCATTTATATTATGTAAATCCCGTCCAACATTATGAAAATGAAAATGAAACAATTTCAGCCAATAGAATCGCCTCATAATCAGCTATAATCAGCCTTGACACATTGTACTCCAATGACCTACTGGAACATTGCTCCAGTCCAATGCTCTAAATGGTAATATATTACTGTGCCACAATTGAGTCAATGGAGTACAAGCTCCATTACCTATTCCATTGAATTCTGAATGGAGCAGATATATAAATGTCTCATAATCGGTAATAATCGCTGGTGTAACAACCCAACCCGCGAGCTTTCTTTTCTTGCCTTGCGCTAAGCAAAGAGGTAGAGTTATATTAAGTAGCATCTTTTACTCTTCAGAAAGGTTTAGTAATCATAATAATCACTGTTTTCACAAAAAAAGTCGTGACAAAATGTTGTGAGAATTTTGAAAAAAGCGATAATATGGTTTACATTGAATAATTCGAATAAGCGTACTTATAGTTGACTTATATGTTGACGCGACACATTCCTTCCCAAAAGTCAGCTAATTTTTTCGCGTAAAATCCAGATGGTCAATAATTTTTTGATATCACATTACATTTTCACATCTCTTAATGGCGAATTGCATATAGTTCGTCGAATGTACAATTAGATTCCACTAATCTTCAAACTATATCACAAAATAAAAATGCATTTTTGTACATGATATCCATTCTTATATATATATATTTAAACCAACTGGCAAGAGAAGCAAATGACTATTCCTATTGTGGGAGTCTGTGAGTTACAAAAATCTTCAACTAGTCAGTATCCAGTGGCAATTAACTTGACACTAGCCAATATTAATAAAAAACCTCAGCATTGTCAAAAAGTGAGTGAAAAGTAACAGCCAAAAAAAAATCATAGAATAAGAACAGTTTATGATACAAAATGGAATAATATTCTACAGAGTTTATAAATTAATTTAATCGAATCAACACATGAATCAGCTAGTTTAGCCTTGTCAAAGCTGCTGTTCCTATCTTCTATTTCAGAGCCCTTGCCAAAGCTGATGCTCCTATCTGATTATATTGAAGATTTAGAGATATTAAAGAAGAATTTGATTCCAGAGCCTTTGCCAAAGTTGTTGCTCCTGTATCTCCTATCTGATTATTTTGGAGATTTAGAAATATTAAAGAAGAATTTGACTAAGCTATTGCTCCTATCTGATTCTTATAAAAATTTAGAGATGTAGGAAGAATTTGAGTTTTTGCAATGCTGTTGCTCCTGTATCTTCTATATTATTCCAGCTTATATTTAGAAATGTTACAAAATAATTTGAATCTAGAACCTTCTGTAAAGCAGTTTTTATCTTTGCATGTGTGATTATAATGTGGTTATGAACTGAGTTTAAAGAAGGCAAAGAAAAATTTGATTCTAGTACTAGAGCCTTTGCTAAATCTGTTGCCTCTGCGGCTCCATTTTGTCAAACATTGGTTCGTTCAATGAATCAAAGTTTTCGAATCCCGTCGAAGTCGGATGGACCAGTCCATCTTGCGATACCAATGATTTGGAAAAGTAAAAAGGACATTCTCGATGAAAAGGCTGGAGCAAAGACCACTGATATTCTTTCGTATGTACGTCTAAACGTTCTGTCAGACGATTGATTGTGATTCTAGGAATTTGAAGCGCATTGACGTCTTAATACATTGGTAATGGTTCTAAAGGACTCTTCGGGCGTACAGTACCATTCCCCCCAGAACTCAGGAACTACAAAAGGTATCGACCGTGATTCATTAAAAGATCTACTGGATAGCCGTGATTATTTGTTTAGGCTCACAACATTAGAGCTTCTATTGCTGCTTCTGCTGCTGCTGCTACTGTTAATGGTGGTGGTAGTACCACTGCTCAAGTGTCATCATCCAGACGAGCCAAGCTATTTTCATAATTGACAGAACTTAATACAGTTTATCAGTTAGTCTAGTATTTCCATCTCGTTGCCACCCGCTCGGTCACCATCGAGATTGAATACTTACAGTCATTATCCCGTTCATTGAGCCAGTTGTTGTCCCACTAATTTCTAATAAGTTATTATAAGAGAATGTAGTCGTTGAGCCAATCGTAACTTTCTTTTGGGAACTTGTTCGTTGGCGAAGTTAACATAATGTTGTGATTCCTGTCACGATGTAGGCGATATTATAGAATCAATCGACTGCCGGGAGCAGTACGAGAAATGAAACACCTGACCAGCAAACTTGCAACTTGCGGTGGATTAAATCAAATTCCAATAAACGAACATGCATTACACTTGCCCCCAATACCTCAGTCGTTCTGCTAGTGTGGAATATCTATCGCTCAAGTGGGGATAGAAGGATATTTCACTCTATTCAACCATTATTGGCGCATTTCTGCAACAGCTGATTTGTCCTCTCCTAACAATCATTGGTGTCCACTTATAAATGTGTTTGTCCTGTCATACCCAAATATGAACATCTACTATAAACCCATCCCTCATTTTAATACACGCGATTGCCCTCATACTTTATCATAACTTGTGGATTTAATCAGCCATGCTCTCCGTTATTTATCGAATCTTATTTTATTACTTTTGAACGCGTAAATATGTACAACACTATAAAAAATTGATACCGTTTACATTTCCTGAAAATCACAAACCCTATTAATTTCATTGGCCGTACTACACTTCTTATACTGTAAACTATATATTTTCCCGACAGCACATGCGCTTCTTTAACTTAGTAATAAAGTATACCGCCATAGTAACTTTAAACTGATAACTCATATTTTCCATATCTTATCCAAAAATGATACTCTTTTCATCGTTTGCTTATTTGTTCTTCTATTATACTATACATTTCCCAGTGTATGCGCTTCCTCTAACTTATCAAGTGTGTCAATATAAGTATGTTATCGTACATACACAATACCTTAAAATCGATACTTGTATCTTCAATTTATAAATATTCTTATAATGGTTTCCTAAAAACATTGTTATTTAGTTTACATGACACAATTTTCGTCATATTTGTGTTACATAACAGTCCAAATTCATGCAATTAAGATCTTAGTTAAAGCTCATACGCGTAAATTAGACGATAATTTAAAACAGTAGAATTTACCTGTAGCAGTCCTATTGTATTACCATAAGAATTATGTAAGCCGCATATTTTATTTAAATATGAATTAAATTATTTTTTAATCAACTATTGTTAAATACAAAAACCTCAAAATGTCAAAAAAAAAAACTGCCTAAATAAAGACCTCGAAACCTCAAAATGTCCAAAAAAAAAACTGCCTAAATAAAGACCTCGAAACCTCAAAATGTCCAAAAAAAAAAACTGCCTAAATAAAGACCTCGAAACCTCAAAATGTCCAAAAATGTTCTACTGGGCTGGGTAGGAGTAAGCACTAGAAATAAAGCAATTAGTGGAAGTGCTATAAGTAGTAATATGATTGTTGATGTAAAACAGTTGTGCAGATAAATATTGTCTTGACGCGACACTTCAATGACGAGATTTTCAACATTCGAACATATTTTTTAGTATTAGTATTACATATTAATATTTCAGAATTATTCATCATTTAACTATTCTTTCTAACTTCCGTAAGCCGACTTATCCGGCTTATTTCAACCTCCAAAGCAATAGACACTTTTGTTCGGCAACAACGACGCACTAGAAAATTTATTTTAGAACAGCTAATAATACACAAAGAAATAGTGAATAATTTTTAATCGCTCATCCAATTGTTGAAAACAACTAATAGGCGGTTAATCAAATATTACGTAGAAAATAATATGGCTGAGATGTAATGATAGACATGAAAATGACATTCACATCTCAAAAAAAGATCTACCTCGGCAAAGTCTGCTAACAGTAAACGTGCACTGTTACGACGAGTTGGTCTGATGACGCAGTCGATTAAGTCAGGTGATAAAATCTTCCGCCGCAGTCAAAGTACCACCCGCAACAATCTAATTTTAGTACTGTCACACTAGAGTTCAGATGTAGTAAATTTTCGTCACGGAAAATGGTGGCAGTACAAGATACAAACAATAGCTAAACTTAGTAATTTTTCGTCACTCTTTTTGGTGGCAGGACAAGACCAAAACTAGTAATTTTTCGTCACTAATTTTGCTGGCAAAAGTCTTATATAAGTAGCGCTTCTCTCATCATCAAAACCTCATGTTGTTAGTTTGTTGTTCGGTTTGATACATTGTTTTAAAATAATTGATCTAATAATCCACGGATTTGTGCCTATCCAAGGAA